AAGTTCGGTCCCAAATTATGTTGATCTCTCCTCTTCCAAGTATAAACAAAGTTTTTTCTCTAGTTATGCAACGAGAAAGACAGTTGCAAGTTGATGTGCATACTGAAAATGTGAATGAAGCAAAAAAATTTGTAAGTACATCAGAAAATTCACGAGGATCCTTCTACAGAGGAAGAGGGAGATTTAATAGAGGAAGAACACAACAAAGTGCAGGAAATAAGTAATGCACGAATTGCAAGAAAACAAATCATACCATTGATACATGCTATTTTAAGCATGGTTTTCCTCAAGGTTACAGAACCAAAAATATTCAAAGCTCCTCTCGAAATGGTAGCAATGCAGTGCAGACTGAGGCAAATAATGCAGTATCCATGGACAATTCAATGAACTCACAGATACAAATTTCAAGAGAGAAGTATGAGGAATTCATGGCCTATATGCAGCAATCCAAGCCTGCACAAGCTACCAACATGGCACATACTGGATTGGCTGATGAAGTTTCTCCAAAAACTGGTAAGAACTCAATCGAATGGCTCCTTGACACAGGAGCTACAGATCACATCACTTATATTCGATCTGCTTTCTTATCTTTACACAAGATTACACCAATATATGTTTTCTTACCAAACGGATCTTCAGTTACTACAACATACTCTGGTAATATCAATATTTCTCCCTCACTAATTTTAAAGAATGTGTTATACATACCAGAATTCAAAGTTAATCTTGTGTCAGTCACAAAGCTGCTTTAGGATATTGACTGTTTTCTGCTTTTTCATGCTTCCCTTTGTGTGATTAAGCAGAATCTCACTTTGAAGAAGATTGGTACAGCTAAGCGAGTGGGAGAACTTTTTGTTATAAATACTGATCTTCCACAACCAGTCTCAAGGTTTTAGAATTGTAATAATTCTTTTCAATGTAATAAGGATGATTCATCCTTATGGCATCTTCGATTAAGCCATGTTTCAGGAACTATTTTGAAGCATGTTGGTTCCCAATTTCCTTTTATACTAAACATAGAAATCAAACCTTGTGATATATGCCATTTTGCTAGGCAGAAGTGGATCATCTTTCCCATTAGCAATTCATAAGTAAATAAAATGTTTGACAGATTAGATGTAGACATTTGGGGGACCCTTTTCAGCCCCTTCTATTCAAGTACACATATATTTTCTAACATTGGTTGATGAATTTTCTCATTTTACTTGGGTTAGGTTCATGGTATATAAGAGTGAATCTCGCAAACTTCTACAGAATTTCATCATATGTCTGCAAAACCAGTTCCAAGTATCCTTGAAAAGCATTAGAATAGATAATCAGAAAGAATTTATGATGACAGAATTCTATTCTCAAAGAGGTATCATTCATCAAACCAGTGGTGTGGAAAATCCACAGCAAAACGGATTGGTAGAAAGGAAACATCAGCATATCATGAATGTAACTAGAGCACTTGCTTTCCAAGCATCTTTGTCACACTCATTATGGAGTTATGCAGTATCTCATTCAGTTTTCATTATTAATATTTTGCCAACCCCTTTGTTAAACTACAAGTCTCCATATGAAAGTCTATATTGCAAGCCACCTATCCTTGACAACCTTCGAGTCTTTGGCTGTCTATCCTATGCATCTACTTTATTATCCCACAGACACAAACTCTCACCTAGAGCAAGAAAGCGTGCATTCTTAGGCCAACCAGAAAATACCAAAAGCTCTATTCTCTATGATCTCTCTTCCAAGACAATATTCATTTCCAGAAATGTAATTTTCTATGAATCCACCTTTCCTTTCACAAACCAATCCTCTTCTACAATCCACGAACCATTCAGTTCACCATTTTACCTAATTCATATACCATCCACCTTGACTTTGATCACACAGAGCATGCCCATAATGATCACCTACCAGAACACATTATTAGATATATTCCAAGAAATAACATCCAGATTACAGAACCCATTGTCACTAATCCACCACTTCGTCGTTCCACCAAAGCCAAAAACACACCCACCTATCTTCGTGATTTTCATTGCAATTCCACTCAAACCAATCCTTCACCCATTAAATATCCTCTTAATGATGTTTTGACATATAATCGTTGTTCAAAACAATACCAAAAATTCTGTTTCAATGTAACCTTAAAGGTCGAACCAAAAACATATAAGGAAGCCATTAAACATAGTTGTTGCCAAGATGCAATGAAAACTGAGATGCAGGCACTCGAGTTAAACAATACATGGAAGTTGGTTGATTTACCTCAAGGAAAAACTCCTATCAGTTGCAAATGGATATACAAGAATAAATACAATGCAGATGGCACACTTGAGAGGCATAAAGCCAGACTTGTGGCTAAGGGATACACACAAGTAGAATGGGTTGATTACTTTGATACCTTCTCTCTAGTGGCAAAGCTAACTACTGTCAGAATCTTGCTCACTCTAGCTGCTACCAACAATTGGTTTCTTGAACAATTAGATGTCAACAATGCATTCTTGCATGGAGACTTAAATGAAGATGTTTATATGGTTCTTCCACTAGGACTCAACAGTAACAGACCAAACCAAGTTTGCAAGCTCATGAAATCTCTATATGGGCTCAAACAAGCAAGTAGACAATGGCATCACAAACTTACAGCAGCTTTAAGATCACTTGGATATGTCCAGTCAGCAGCTGATCATTCTCCATTTACCATCAAAACTGGTAATCATTTCACTGCCCTTCTCATATACGTGGATGATGTTGTTTTAACTGGAAATAGCATGGCTGAAATCCAAAGGGTTAAATCATTCCTGGATGATAAATTCAGAATTAAAAATCTTGGTACATTGAGATTTTTTCTTAGATTAGAAATCTCTCGTTTCAAGAAAGGGATCATTCTAAATCAAAGGAAGTATGCACTTGAGCTCATTTCCGATAGTGGTTTACTTGCAGCAAAACCTGCAAGTACTCCCATGGATACCTCATCCAAACTCAGTCGTTCAGCTGGTGTTCCTTTAACAGATCCTTCGTCTTATCGTCGATTGGTGGGAAGACTATTATACTTAACAACTACTAGACCCGATATTGCTTTCTCAGTACAACAAGTGAGTCAGTTTGTATCCACTCCTACAGACTTGCATCAATTAGCTGCCATTCAAGTTCTTCGTTTTATCAAGGGTTCTCCTAGCAATGGTCTCTTCTTCCCATCCAACAATGAATTGAAATTATCAGGATTCTCTGATTCAGATTGGGCCTGCTGTCCAGATACACGTCGCTCAATAACCAGTCAATGTGCTTTTCTTGGATCAGCACTTGTGTCATGGAAATCTAAAAAGCAAACGAATGTCTCTCGATCTTCATGTGAAGCTGAGTATCGAGCTTTGGCCAGCTTATCATGTGAATTACAATGGCTCTCCTATCTTCTTCATGATTTCCATCTTCCCCTGTCACAACCTATATCTGTATACTGTGATAATGCTTTAGCAATTTATCTTACACATAATGCCACTTTCCATGATTGTCTTGTTGTTCGTGAGAAAGTCGCTCAAAAACTGATTCATTTACTCCATGTTCCTTCCTCTGCACAGATTGCTGACCTCTTTACAAAAGCTTTATCTACCGCTGCTTTTCAAAATGTGGTTTTCAAGCTAAGTCTAGTGGATATCCACAGTCGCACTTGCGGGAGGTGTTGATATATCCTAATAATATAGCTAACGTAGATAAAAGCACACGTGAAGTGTAACTGTTTTAATTTCTGATTAGGAGAGTTAGTTATTTGAGTTTGTTATTTTTCTATAACTACTTTTTTTTTCTTTCTTCACTGAGTATATATACTCTGAAGAATGTTAAGTGTAAGTGACTTTTCCAATTAATGAATTCTTCGAAGTTCTTTTGGTTTCTCAAGACTTGTCACGTGTCGAGTCAGTGCTACTTAGAACAATATGCTCCTCTCTTTTCTCTCTCTCTCGGTAAGCTACGGCTGCACTTCGATTTCTTTCTCCTATGCAGCGCCACTGTTCTTTTTTCTCCTTTCTTTCTTTTAGCCGCTGCTCCCACTTGTTTTTCTCCTATGCAGCGCCACAGCACCGAACATTATCTTGTTTTTTTTTTTTTTTTTTCTGCCTCTCTCTTTTTAGTGCTGCTGCTGTTCTTTTCTCTTCTTTATCTTTTGTTTTTCATGTTAGGGTTAAAATGAAAATGGGCCAAGGGCCCACCACTCAAAAACAATGGATCACGGATCCATCACTTTTGTCAAAGTGGCTTCTGTTTTTCCTGGAATAATAAACATGAGCCTAATTTTCTGCCAAACTCGTACAACAAAACTTTCCGTTTATTATATCTTAATTGGAAATTCTTGAGAAGTTACGTATTCCTTTCTTACTTCACTAATATTTTACAAATAATCAAATTAAATATATTTAAATTCTTGAGAAGTTACGTATTCCTTTCTTACTTGACTGAGATTTCACTGGGGAAAAGATATTGTAACAATTAATTAGTGTTACTATTAATATTATTACTAATCAATTTCACTGTTAAATTGATTGTATTGATTCAACAATTATATTTATTTTTATCTTTGTAGGATTATAATTTCTCATATTTAATATTTTATATTTATTTTTATCTTTATATGGTTATGGTTTCTCATATTTAATGCTTTCATATTAAATATAGAGAATCATAACCATACAAAAATGAAAATAAATATAACCGTTAGATTAACATAATAGATCTAACGATAAAATTAATTGGTAATAACACTAATTGGTTGTTACAATGTCATCAAATATATGTAAAAAGTAAATGGTGGCAACTTTTTGGAGTTGTCAGATAGCCATCTGTTTGAAGATTTGATTGGCAGTGTATGAAAACATTTTTTAACATATGCTTGGCTTCCTCTAAATAAGAAGTGTGAGTTTTTGTATAAAAAAATATATTTGTATACAGTCATTGTTATATCGTAAACATATTTATAATCCATTGGTTCCAGATTTTATCTAAACGCATCTTAACACATATGAATGGCTATTCTACCGTTCATGCTTGTTATTGCTAACCTACTTTTGTTTGTCTCTCAAATTTCCTCTGAAACTGATACCATTACCCAGTTTCAGTCTCTTCCTGATGGAAGTTCATTGGTTTCACAGGATGGAACTTTTGAGTTTGGTTTCTTTAGTCCGGGTAGTTCCAAAAACCGCTATGTAGGAATCTGGTTCAAAAATATCTCTGTACAAACTGTTGTTTGGGTTGCCAACCGTGACAATCCAATCAAAGACAACTCAAGCAAGTTGAGCATAAGCAAAGAGGGAAACCTTGTCCTTCTCAGCAAGAATGGCACAGTTCATTGGTCAACAAATGCAACAACAAAAGGGTTAAGTGTCATAGCACAACTCTTAGGTTCTGGCAACTTGGTTCTAAAAGACGAGAAAGACAATAGTCCTCAAAACTACTTGTGGCAGAGCTTTGACTATCCCTCTGATACATGTTTGCCAGGAATGAAGTTAGGATGGAACCTAACGAGTGGCCTTAACAGGCGTTTAACTGCTTGGAAGAATTGGGATGACCCTTCTTCTGGTGAATTGAATTATGGCCTCTCACTAAGCAATAATCCTGATTTGGAGATTTGGAATCGCTCATCAATGATCTACAGAAGTGGACCTTGGAATGGCATTAGATTTAGCGGTACAAAAACAGCAAAGCAACTTCAATTGTTCAATGTAGATTTTGTGAGCAAAAGCGACGAGTATTATTTCAGCTACAAACCAAGGTATGACCAGTCATTGATTACAAGAATTGTCATCAACCAAACCACTTTTTCTCTTCAGCGCTTCACGTGGAATGAAACAAATCAAAAGTGGATGCAGTACTTAAATGTACCAAGAGATGACTGTGACAACTATAAGCGTTGTGGGTCATTCGGGAACTGTAAAATGACGGATAAGTCCCCAATATGCGAGTGTTTACAAGGATTCAAGGCAAAGTGGCCTCAAAACTGGAGTGAAGGATGTGTGCGCAGTGAAACTTGGAGCTGTAGGGATAAGAATAAAGATGGTTTCACCAAATTTAATAACTTGAAGGTCCCAGACACTAAAAAATCTTGGCTTGATAGAAGAATGACACTTGAGCAATGCAAGGCCAGATGCTGGGAAAGTTGTAACTGTACGGCTTATGCAAACTCAGACATCACTGGAGAAGGAAGTGGTTGTGTCCTCTGGTTCGGTGATCTATTGGATTTGAGACAGCTTCCAGATGCTGGGCAAGATCTGTATGTTAGATTAGCTCCTTCCGAAATAGGTACGAGATTTTATCTTTATTTCCGCAGATTTTTTTATTTAAAAAAACAAATTGAAATCAAGTTCGAACTATGTGTCATGCTAAAGAAAGCTGTTCTAAGGCTATTTATGCCAGTTTAGTGCTCCAAATTGAGTTCGGGGATAGAGACTTAAGTGATAATATAAGCCCCATATGGAGGAATCGTAAAAAAAATCAAGGATCTATCCTTCATTGAACCTCTGATACTAGATTTGACTCGATTTGGAGTTAGTCTCGTACCTGGAACCTGAATTGCCTCCAAAGAATAATTAGGTCATCGAATAAAAAAAACTTAAATTTGAGACATGTAAGCAAACGGAACAACTGTTAGCACTTGAACCAATTGTGGGTTCAAATGGTAATTATAATTAAATTAAGGGAAAAGTGTGTATAATTTTAAATGATGTAAAGTTGTGTTATTTTTTTTTTTTGATATAAATGGAGGGCCTAGCCGAGAAAAACTACAAAGACAGCTGATGCATGTAAAAAAAGTTGTGTCATTTTAAGTGAGAGAAAAAGATAAATAGAGGAGAGAGAGTGGACAAAAAAATATTAAGATGTAAGTCTCACCTCTTTATGAAAGTGAAAGGATATAAGTTGTGTGGACAAACACTTTTCCCTTAAATTAATTATGTTTAATATTTTTTTTTTCCGTGTTACTGTCTTGACTATTTTTTTCCCCCTCTCAAGCAAATCAAGATGTAAAAGATGCTTCTAAAAAAATGGTGGCTGTGGTCACAGCCGCTGTTTCATCAATTATTGCGATGCTTTTAACTTTAGCATCCATTCACTGGAGGAACAAAACCAAAATTAGAGGTAACTGTTCTTAACCTAACTCCATTTTACTATTATTATTATCGTACTATTTTTGTTAAACAACTAAGGCTTTATTTGGTTTTCCCATTTGCTACCCCTAAACATGGTAAGGATAGACCGAATTTCACTTTATTTTGCACATGTTTAGTAAAATTTGTTGTGGGTTATTCCTTTTATCCCAAACCATGAATTCTGAAGAAGTAAGAAATATTTACTTCTCCATTCAACTAAATTTTTTAATGAGAATTCAACTATAACCTTGAAAAATTAATAGTTTCTTTCAATTCCTTCATCCTTTCTCAGCCAACCTTAATATAACCAAACAAATAAAAGCTGGAGAGTTAGGTCGCATGTGCTTTCACAGTCTCTCTTTTTTTTTGAAAGAAATAAAATAAAACTTAGAGTCTGTTTCGAAAAACAGGTTTTTGATTTTCAGATAAAAAAAAAACACGTTTGATAAGGTTTTCTTTATAAACAAAGTTTTAAAAATTTTAACTATTTTTTTTTTTTGAATCAAATTTTGAGAACATATCTGAATTATTTTTGTTTTGTTTTTTAACTTTTAACTTTTAAAACAAAAAATATTATATAAAATACTTATTTCATTAACTATTCTACAAAATAATTTTAAAGACGAAAAAATCAAAACACAATCAAACACACAAAAAAACATATGAGCCCACCAAAACTATTTTTTACCGGTGGTGGCTCTATCCACATCCAACAAAATTGCATTATTTACTTGTGTATTGAGAGGCAAGCTTTGTTTATATAGAAAAGTGGGGTTTTATGCTTTGGGCGCCGGGGGTGGGGGTAACAATTCAAACTCAATTTTTTTTTAAAATAATAATAATAATAATAAAGTAAGCAATATTTGGAAATATTTGATTGTTTGTGAAAAGTAAAACACGTTCAATAAAAAAAAAAAAGAACATGTAGCTTCTGTTATTTCCTATCAAGATAGCGCATATGACAAGGGTGTTTGTGGGAAACAGGGATCATCAAGACAAAAGTAAAGAAAAACGAAAGCAAAGAAGATATGGAATTACCTTTGTTTGACATTGATACTATAGCGTGTGCCACTGATGACTTCTCAAGTGACAAGAAGCTTGGCGAAGGTGGATTTGGTCCTGTATATAGAGTAAGTATGCAACATGCCACCTATTAATTAATGGATAAGGACCGAGGACAAAGCATAATACTTTTTGTTCACCATTGAATTTTCTTACAAAGGTGGTTTTTTCTAGGGCACACTCCCAGATGGACAGGATGTCGCTGTCAAACGGCTTTCACAAAAATCTACACAAGGATTAAAAGAATTTAAGAATGAGGTTATATTTTGTTCCAAACTTCAACACAGGAACCTTGTTAAAGTCCTAGGTTATTGCGTTGAAGAACAGGAGAAATTACTCATCTATGAATACATGCCAAACAAAAGTCTAGACTTCTTTCTTTTTGGTTAGTATATTTGCAAATATTTGTAGCTAACTGTTTAAAATTTCATTTCGTTCTTTTAGTTAATCACTAACAAAACATGACTATCTAATTTTACAGATTCTTCCCGAAGTGAACTTCTAGATTGGTCTAAGCGGTTCAACATTATAACTGGAATTGCTCGCGGGCTTCTTTACCTTCATCAAGACTCCAGATTAAGGATTATACATAGAGATTTAAAAGCAAGTAATATTTTATTGGATAGTGATATGAACCCGAAAATTTCTGATTTTGGCTTGGCGCGAATGTGTGAAGATGATCAGATTGAAGGTACCACAAGCAGAGTCATTGGTACATAGTAAGTATTCTTTAGTGATCCAAGTTCAAAAATGAATAGAACTTTGAATTAATTCGTTTGTGTTTACTTTCAGTGGCTATATGGCACCTGAATATGCAATTGATGGAATATTCTCCATCAAATCTGATGTATTCAGCTTCGGCATTCTATTACTTGAGGTTTTAAGCGGAAAGAAAAATAAAGGATTTTCCTATTCAAACCACACCTATAATCTTATTGCGCATGTAAGTAATAAAAATAACTTGATTTCCCAAATATAATAATGAAGTGGTTGTTACTTATTACTAATTGTTATGGATTATTGTAGGCATGGAGATTGTGGAAAGACAGCATCCCACCGGAATTCATTGATACTTGTTTGGGGGGCTCGTATTTTACATCTGAAGCCGTACGATGCATTCATATTGGTCTTTTATGTGTGCAATATCTTCCTGAGGATAGGCCAAATATGACAACTGTAGTTGTAATGTTAACCAGCGAAAGTGCTTTACCTCAACCAAAAGAGCCTGTCTTCTTAATGGAAAAGGTTACTGTTGAGGAAAAATATAGTTATGGCCTGAAGACGTACTGTTCAACCAATCAAGTATCTATTTCAGAGTTTGAGCCCAGGTATTGAAAGAAATTGCTTCAAGTTTTACCATCGGCACCAATGGTAAGAGGTTGCGTATAATAACCCACTTCAGTAAACAATAGAAACTATTACAGCACTTTCACTTATTAATTAACCCATTACAGCAGTTCAAAAATAATACATACTATCAAGCTTTGTAAATGGAATATATGACAAATAATGACAAGTTAAGCATTAGATTAATGCGATAATAAGAATAAAAATATAATTCTTGCCAATCAAGTCAGTTATGGATCTAAATGTCAATTATGAAAAATTTAGGGACATAAGTGAAATTATTGGAAAGTTTAGAGGCCAATTTGTAAATAAGCAAAAGTTACTCTAAACTTAATTATGATGTCATAATATGGAATTTTTTGGAATTTAGTGGATTTAGAATGATTTAATTTAGGATTGATTATGTGTCTAAATTAGGTTATAAAGAAAAGAAAACATAAGGATATAGTTGCAATTTTTAAAAGTTCAGGTCAAAAGTCAATTTTTCTTAAGTTATAAGACTTACAGCAATTAGAAAGCATCTCATTTCTTTCTTTCTTCTTCCTCGGACCTGCACCTAGCCGAGACTCTAAGAATGCTTTTCTTCAAAATTCTATAACCTTAAAGTCCACAAAACCTAGAACACCCACTAAATTAAAGTTGAAGCTTAGGACTTGGTGAGTAAAACCCTAAACTTAGTTCACCTTGAAAGTTCTTGGTTGATGAGATTATGAGATTTTCCTTCCTCGTGGCTTCTAATGGCAAAGTAGTAACCAATTGGCTAAATAGAAAGAAAAACGAACACAAGGATTGCGAGAAAATACTATTCTCTTTTCTTAATTTTATTTAACCAAAAACAACCTCATAACAATAGGGTTCTCCAAGCCTTAAATGGGCAAAATAAAAATAACAAAAAAGTAAAGAATTATAATCATACGTAATCAAAGAAGATAACACACAATCAACGCACGCTCAAACATAATCTAAAAATAACAAAAACAGAAATAATTAACAATTATTGAAAAGCCCTAAACTATTGAATAAATTATAGAAAAGCCCAATCCAAGTCAATCAGCACTGGTGCATCATTCTCTCCCACTTGGAAAAGATTCGCCCTCGAATCTGCTTCATTTTCATTAATATGAACTTTTTCATGTGGTAACTCAGGTGACAACTCTTCTGGTACAATATCACCAAATTTCCTAATTAAGATTAGGACTTGTGAATGCAATTCTTTGATATGCTTGGTATATTCACCTGCATTCGTATTAAATTGCTTGGGAACTAGAAATATTACGAGTTCTAAGGGAGTAAATAGACAAAACCCATAAATTATTCCAAAAGGACTATTGCCTGCAGTTTGGATCAATGATCGCATCTGTGATCCGTCATAGAAAAATTTCGTCTGATGTAACAACAATTTCCATTGCCCTTGACGATCTCCAATTAAACTTCTACCAAAAGTTAAATCTTTATCTCTATGGAGCATGAGGTTGTTATGCCTGTTGTCCCCAAATTCATAGTACTGCTTGCAAACTAAAGACTTATTGAACAAAGGATCATTCAGCATGATATCTTTGGGTAGAACTTCCTCTTTGTCAGAGATATTAGAATTTTTAATAACTGACTTTTCACCGAAATCACTACAAGAGATTTCTTCCACCTATGGATTCTCATCGTCTTGCTCCCAATCATACTTATCATAGATAGGGAACTCATCCTAAACTGGAGCATCCTTAACGGGATTCTCATCATCTTGATCTTCATCATATTCATCATAGATCGAGACCTTCTGGTCTTCTGTCAATTCTCTGATGTCAAAGACCCTTTCGACGGTGTGTGACTCGTCGATAAACTCATCTGGATGAGTGATGCTCTCGAATTCCAGGATCTCAATCTTCACCCCACTATTAGGAAAAATGGTTGATTTCCAGGTTGACTTCGTCCTCGTCGCTCTTGGTTCCAGTTCCACAATGGGTTTTCGCTCCTTTCCTCCTTATGAGATGATCTTTCAGAATCCTTTCCTTCATTTGACTTGTCCTACTGTGTTTGGGCAAACAGTTGTTTGAGCTGCTAAATTCGTCTACCTTGTTCTGCCATTGTAGAAGTCATTGCTACAATTATGGTGTCAATTATTGTGTCTCCCATGTCGATGTGTGGTTGTTCGCCGTCGCCGTTTAGGTTGTTATCATGCCCTCTACTGCTGTCGTCGCCTCGACCTCGTCGTCCACGATCTTGACCTCGACGACCATTATTCTGTTCAGCCATTTATGTGACAACCAAAGCTCTGATCACCAATTACCAAATAATGGCGAATCAGTAACCAATTGGCCAAACAGAAAGAAAAACGAACACAAAGATTGCGAGAAAATACTATTCTTTTTTCTTAATTTTATTTAACCAAAAATAACTTCATAACAATAGGGTTCTCCAAGCTTTAAATAGACAAAATAAAAAAATAAAAAAAGTAAAGAACTATAATCATGCGCAATCAAAAGAGATAACAGACAATCAACGCACACTCAAACATAATCTAAAAATAACAAAATGGAAAATAATTAACAATCATTGAAAAGCCCTAAACTATGGAATAAATTATAGAAAAGTCCAATCCAAGTCAGTCAGCTCGGGTGCATCAGCTTCGGTTACTGTTCACTTCATGAAGTTTTGATGGCTTGTTTGATAGTTTAAAGCTTGTAGATTGAAGCTTTGGTGATTTGGAACACAACCAAGATAAGAAACTACAATTTAAACAGTAGAAATGTGAAGCTTTGGTTTAGGTTTTCATGAATTTTTTATGAAATTTTTCTCCTAGAAAATCATGGTTGGTTATTGTGTCTTAATGATTGGATATGTTCTTTGATGGTTTTGGAGTTGAATGGTCTATGTAGTGATCATCGGAAGCATAATTTGCATGAATTCTCCTAGTCCGTATTCGACCATCATGTGTAAAGTCAAGTTGGAAGCTTATTTAATTTGGTTTTGTTGATGGTTAGTGGTCATTTGTTAGTGTAGTGTGAAATGGACTAGTTGCTAGCTATTGAATAGCTTGAAAAGTTGATTAACTTCCTAGAGGTATGTTTCGGCCATTGAGTGAAAATAGGTCTAGGAAGTTTGTTATATTATGAATGAATCTTGGAAGCTAGTTTAGTGTTATTCCAAGGGCGGTGAAAACCTTGCTTTTAAGTGGTATTCATGTTGAATCCATATTATAAACAATCTTGGATATTTGGGGATAGATGGTCATGACTTGTATTGGGCTTGAATTGGCATGTTAAATAGAATAAGAAATGGTCCATAATTAAATGAATACGGTGAAACCAACCTAAACATGATATGTGAAATTATCTGTCATGTGAAAAGTGTTGAACTTTATTATTTCAACCATTGAAATGTAACCTTTATGGTATTGGTTGGTATCTAGGTTGGGAACAATTGAGGTAATCTTGAAAAATCAAGCTTCAGAGTGACTTTCTTGGATTACAAGTAAGTAAACTTTCGGTTGAGGAGTTTATCTTCGTCTTTGTTTGTTCCACCATGATCCAATTAGATTATGGTTTTAATGTGGATATGTTGTGATGAATGTTAGAGATTTAGTATAGTTGCATTCATGTAGGATATGTATATGTTATGATGTAATGTGTAGATTTATGGTTTATGGCCAATGAACGCATACATGTGTGTACCTTCCTTGGGGACAAAGTTCTTGTAATTTATGATCCTTAAGGACAAAACCTTTGGATTATTATGTATGGATTGATCCTTAGGGACAAAGCCTTTGGACAATCATTTGTGGATCTCCTGTGAGGACCCAGGTTCTCAGAAGGTTATGTGTTAAGACTATCCTTGAGGAGAAATCTCTTGGAGGTCATATATGTGATGAATATATAATGTCTGCTATATTTCGTTACCTGACATTTCATGCAGAAATTGAACTCATTGGTAAAGAGTGCTCCTTAAACCTTGAGTTTACTGAGATGATTAATCTCACCTCGTTTGGGGACATATTTCAGGTACCCCAGCAGCAGCAGGAGAGCCTCATAGGGCAAGAGGCCCGCATAGGGTTAAGGTATTTATAACCGATGGAGATTTATGTTATGGAATTACTGTATATACATTTTGTGGAGCATGTTATAGTATCATGCACCATTGTATAGGCAGACATGTATTTTGGTGGATGATTGTACATATTCTTTTGTAGAATGATGTATGATCATGCACATGTATAGTCTGATATTTGTATTTGTGAGACATGTATGTCTATGACTTTATGTTTGATTTGTTTACGAGGTGTATATGTTGGCATGGAGCCATTAACTATATGAATCCATGGATGGATTCTAAGTCCATACTTGTTGAACTATTTGGTATATATCTGGACTGGACTTTTCTGGATTTCAGGTACCATATATAAAGGTGGGATTATATCCCTGGATTGTCTAGTTTATAGTGAAAATGTTGTCCGTGAGATTCTATCCAGAATGGTACATGTTATCATATCCGGATAATCATGGACCATTAGTTATGGTTACAGGATTTAAGTAAGAATTCCATGCAGGAATAAGACTGTACAATTTATGTTGATATGAAAAATACAAGATGCATAGCAATACGTAAAGAGAAATAAAAGAAAAAAGTTAAGTCACATAGTTACATAGAATAACGATGATACTTTATGTAAGTCTTCCGCTTAAATTAATAAGTATGGTGTGCTTTATTTACCATATTGCATATTAGCTAACAAGCTGCAAACGGGGCATTACATTGCGTGCTATGCACTCACAAAATTCATGAATTTTTAAATTTTGGCTATAATTTTGTGTACTTCTAAAATAACTTTAGCCCATTTGCAATTTTGATTTTAGCCCATATCTTATTGTTGTTATGCGTCTTTGCTTTTTACATCTCATATCAATGTCCTGCGACCCAGCCCAAGCTATGATTGGCACAAAGATTAATATTCTAGACAGGCAATGAAATTCTACATAAAAAATAAATAATTTAAATATTCTCAAGTCGAGTTTCCTTTGAATTTCATTTTTCTCAAAATACAAATAAATTTTCTTGTAAGAATAATAGAATAAGTCTAAAAATAATAGCATATACGACTTCTTTTACCCGCAGCACCGGTATCAATTGAAATCTATGTAAACGACTTGGTGACGTAAAATGGCATATACGACTTGGTGACGGAAAATGGCCAAAATCACCAACCTCATGTCTTCTTTACAAAATTTTCTCAGTTTATGTAAACGACTTGGTGACGTATTTTTTAGAACATAAAAGAATTATGAAGGACCCGCCTATGTTCTTGTCAATTGATGCATTATGAAGGTGACCACACGTCAACCCAGGACCAATAATGCAATTCGTATTCGTATTAATTACTCCAACGCTCCTACTTAATGCTGATATATGTATGCTCAAAATGCGTGGTAGTGGTTGTATGCAGTAATTAACGCAAAATAATGGCCATCATTCTAGTTATCCTTGTTTTTATCTTTTTGTCTTTTTTGGTACAGTTATCCTTGTTATTTTCAATCTACTATTGTTCTTGGAGGGAGGCTACCAAAATTTTTTATTATCAACTTACTACAAATTTAATCATTATTGAATTAAAGAAAGAGAATGTTAAAAAGTTTCTGAAGAGAGAGAGAAAATGCTGATCCAATAGTAATTAGATAGATAATAAATTGGTAGTGAAAATTTTTAATAATAAAAATATCCCTTGTTCTTCGCTCAAATTTCCTTCGTAAGTGATATCATTACCCTGTTTCAGTCACTTCCTGATGGCAGCACCTTGGTGACTCTCGATGGGTTAGGTAGTCCCAAAAACCGTTACTTGGGAATATAAAAATATCTTCGGTATTTTTGTAAGAGAATGGTTATATTTATAAAGAAAAGTTATATTTACAAATTTTTTATTTACAAACTGTTACAAATTATACTATGTATTTTCAGGATAACACTAGATTACATTATGTTCTCCCGGGAGTATATAGTATAATTTGCAAAAATTTATAAAAAAAAAATTGTATACGGATCCTTTTCCATATTTATAAACTCAAATTTTATAAATTTTTATAATTATACTATGTATTATGAGCAATAGCGGACCTAGAAATTTTTTTTAATGTCTGCACACTTAGAATAAAAGAAAAAGAAAAAAAATTTAAAGAAAAATTTAAATATATTAAAATACAAAAGAATATAAAAAAAAACTTTAACTTAATATAAAAAAAGAAATCAATAGTCAATTAAACTGTTATAATAGAACATTTTGGGTCCTCTAGGGGACGTTTGGTTGAGGAGAAATTTTTTGAATACTAGAAAAATGTAATTGATAGGGAAATGGTTGGAAAGTGAGTTTGGTAGGAAAATGTAAAAAAAGTTGTTTGGTTAGAAAAAATTTTACCGAGCAAATTAGGTAAGATTTATAAAGTCTATGTTTGGTTTGAGGTAAAATATAGATGGAGAAATAACTTCAAATTACAAATATAACCCCATAAAAAAGTGAAACATTAACACTTTAGATGAGGGTATTTAAGTCTACTAGTGAGTTGCTCTTTTGCCATTTAGCTAGTTAAATATAAAATACACCTTCAAGTTGTCTTTCTAAATAGTAACTTTACCTTGCTTTCTATGAACACATAAGGAATGCTATGCAAATACAACACCTAGGAAAATTTTGTAAAACCTTCTACCAAACATTGCTTTCTTACTTTGCCAATTTGATTTGCCTAGATAAATTTTAAGAAATCTTCAACTAAACATCACATAACAGAAAATAATTTTAAAAAATATAGATGAATCACTTCGCATCTTTTCAGCTCCAGATGAATATGTATGATGAGTGGTGTGTGGTGTATTTTGCATTTTGTATTTCTTATATGGGGCTTACTTTTCTCAGGAGAAAAATTTTGCTTCTTACATATGTTTTTGTGGGCCCATTATTATTAGTTTTTTTAAAAATGGACAGCTTAAAAATCGATTGTATAGGAAATTGTTTTCGATTTACATTTTTATTCTTAAATTGTGCTTAAACGAGTGCATGCAAGAAGTAGAAAGTGCAAATAACCAAAGGTTCGTCCTTTGGAATAGTAACGTGTTATGCATAGATGGGTATGAAATGTTCTCTGAGTGGTGGCATTAAATGTGTATGCACATGAATATAAGTGTGCAATTGTGGGGACGTGCACATTATCGTAGACAGGTGGAATGTAATGTAAGCCTTTTGTCCTCTGATACATGTAGGAGAGCCATGTAAATAGCACATAGCATAAGTTAGAACAATATGAAAGTATAATATAGCCAAAAGAAAGAAAAAGCTATATGATATGGGGCTTTTTGACCCTTTTGCTTCTCATTAATTAATTAATAATCAATTTGTCCCTGATCAAGAACTATCCACCAACCTGCCCCTTTTTAGTCGACTACCTTGCTGTTTTAGTCGAGCAAATGGTCAATCGTCAGAAAGTGGACTACCGCAAATTTAGTCGACTAAAAAATCATCTTAATCGACTACATTTTTGGGATATTTAGTCGACTAAGTAACGATATTTAGTCGACTAAATGTCGACTGAAACCCTATATTTTCCATGTTTTCGGTCTCATTTCGATTGTTGTTGTTGTGTAAACCTAAATAGCTCCCTTTGTTTATGTGTAATCCTCTCAATCCGATTGTATTTCATCCCACCATCTCTACAGACCTAATATTGTGAAATCATTGTCATTGCCCAATTCCAAACCCCAAAATCCGAACCCAAACCCCCAATTTCAGAACCCAAGTCCCAATTTCGTGAGGAAGATGAGCACAAGTCCAAACGTGTATGTGACAATGATCTACTATGATGGAAAGCATTATGAAGGCCCCAATGGTGTTCAATTTGAAGGAAAAACGAAAATGTTGAAAATCAAACGGGGCACTACGTACAATGAGTTAAAGGAGAGAATTCAGCAAAAATTGGGTCTGCAAGGCAGCCAATGCGTTCAACGGATGATTGCCAGGGTAGAGACAACAGTTGGTAAGGATGCTATTTACTACATTGGTAACGATATATGTGATGATGAAGATGTCGAATGTGTCATAGATGCAATTGTTGACCGAAAATTTCAAAATTTTATTGAGATATATGTTGAATTAGATTGTGGTCAATCTTCATCTGCACCCATGCATACAAGAAGTGAACCGTATTTTGGTCACGAAGAAAGAGTAGTCGATTTATCTGCACCTGCACATGTCATAAGTCAGATAACACTGCGGGAAATAGATGAGGATGAACAGGATGCCGATATGGACAGCGATGAGGACGGTGAACCTGAGAGTGTTATTCCGCTAGGTGACACGTCAGATACTGACGTAGAGGGTGATTTCGACGCTGACACAAGCTCACCATCCCCGGGTTCGCAGGTTACGAGACCACTTCGTGTTGACCCTGTTAGCAGTGGTAAGATTTGTTTTTTAAAGATTTAATTTAGCAATTATTTTTTTTGTTATGAATGGTATTGACGGTGGCATTATAATGCATCCGTAGGTTCTGAGGTCGAGCCATTTTGGAATGAAAGCTCACATTATACCTTCATTAATTGGGCCCACCCTAATGATGAGACAGAGATATTGTATGGTGACGATGATGATCACGGTGGCTGGCAATTAGGGGATCCTTTATATTTGTATCAGGAGTTTTGTAACATTATAGGCATTTATGGTTTTATATGCTTGTATTTGATGTCATGATGTTTGTATTTGAATGTAATGACGGTGCTATGTTTGTATTTGATCTCATGATGTTTGTATTTGAATGTAATGACGGTGCTATGTTTGTATTTGATGTCATGATGTTTGTATTTGAATGTAATGACGGTGCTATGTTTGTATTTGATGTCATGATATTTGTATTTGACTCATCTTAGTTTTTTGACTCGGAAATTATGCTCCCTAAGTCACACTCCCTTAGTGGATCAGTGTAGAGTGGAAACCTAGGGCAAAAAACATGTGTAATTCGGATTTGGGGTCCTAAACCAACAATTTAGTCGATTAACCTGTACTGGTTTAGTCGACTAGGTTAGTCGTTACTTAGTCGATTAACCTAGGGCAAAAAATATCGTTACTTAGTCGACTAAATATCCCAAAAATGTAGTAGATTAAGATGATTTTTTAGTCTACTAAATTTGCGGTAGTCCACTTTCTGACGATTGACCATTTGCTCGACTAAAACAGCAAGGTAG